TGTTATTCGTTCGTACGATCGCTTGTTGTCCCTCGTAGCCACTCGTAAAGGTGTAGTGTGGATTGTAGTACTGCTTCAGGCTCGACTCATCTCGAAAATTCTGCATCGCACACCACACGTGACACAATAAAAATGGAAATCTCGACAGCCAATATTCAGTAAATTCGTTAGGAATCTCGCCGGGACTCTCCTGTGCTTTCGGGCTTAGTTCTCTGTAATGGTGTTTCTGAAAACATATCGACACGCGTTAATGACGAGTCGTTTCAAGTTCAATGATTGCGTCTATTTTTAATCTCGGTAGATTCAAAATAGATTAGACTTGTTGAATATAAAAGAGGAGGATTCTGGAAATATTTTAAACAAATCTCTTCAAGTAAAGAGTTCTTAGAAAAATTAAGAATCGCAAGTATTACTCGTTTAGCAAGGTGTTCATTTGATAAAAGAATCATGTTTTGCAGTTTAAGGACTCCAGGACAATTTTATAATTTCAAATCTCTTGAATATTATTTTCTTGATAGTGCACACTCGGAGTGTTGTATCGATAATTTTGTAAAAAGCGATCAAGTTTCTAGTATTTGAAACATTAAATCTGTTTAATTCTATGTATCTCTTTCCGTAAGTAAGAATAATAAAGAATAATAATAATAAATCAGTAATCATCTTATGATAATTTACGTTTGTATAACTGACTGTGCGATAAAGCGCATTGTACTCGCTAACCTTGTTTCGTAAAGCCCTGAGTAGATCTCTCACGCTCTCGCCTCGATAACTTCTGTATTTGCGCGAATCTGTCGTAACTTCGAGATCTATGTACAATCCCCAATCGTCCCCTGTCACGCGCTCGCCGCAAGTCTCCAATGCTATTAAAGCCGGACTGTTGGACTGGTCCTTTTCCACACGATCGCTAATATCCTGTCGCACAAATTACAATAGAGAAATGAAATGAAGGAAAGGCTCGCGTGATTTCTCCTCTCTGACACTTTCCTTTTCTCTTTCTTTCGAAAGAAAAAGGCGAAGCAATAATGAATATTTAAACAATTTTATTCTATATACCTGAAAGAAACCGAGAATCTCTGCTAAATTCCAAAAGAATGGATAATTACAGATTGCCGAAGCTGGCGGCCTCGCAGCAGGATTACCGCATATCATTGCCTTCGTAAGTAATAACGCTAATTCTCTGTCACTCGGAGGTACTTTCTCGAGCGATGTCAGATTGCTCTCGCCACCTGCATATAAGAAATAACATGAATAGAGAACCGAAGGCAAGTTGAACAAAGCTGCTTACTTACAGGGAATATTCGCTTGTCTTCGTAGCGGATCGCCGAAAGGATGCTTGCCATTGGAAAGAACGTAATAAAAGACGCAGCCAAGCGAGAAAATGTCGACCGCGCATGTCGTCCTTTCTCCATTCAGCATCTCTGGCGCGATCCAACCATCGGTTCCAGTGATACCAGATCTCCGTGAAAATGATACACGGTCGAGCTGAAGTTTTTTACATAATCCAAAATCCGATATCATGGCGCGTACCTCACCGCCAGGTCCAGGAACAGAGAGCAAGACGTTGTGACTATGAACTACATACGCAAAGATTTGTACGACAAGTTTGAACAACAATTGAAAATAAAAATCCAAGTTACTTAGTTTCCTCACCGATATCCAGGAAATGAAGATGCGCTAATCCGGATGTGGCCTGATGCAAGATATTTTTCACTGATATCTTTCCCCTGTCATATTTTCCCGTGACGTAATCCTGCACAGTGGCCTCTGCTAGTTCCAAGGCGATGTATCTGAACATACGATCCTGTTCGGTACAAAAATATCTGACTACGTTGGCGTGTGCGTCCGATTCTCTCAAGAGGACTACCTCTCGATCAGCTAACGTAAAGCAGTCTGGCAACAACCGCTTCACAGCTATAGCGCGACCGTCAAATTCACCTTTGTACACGAGTGTTCCGTCGCATCCTTTGCCAAGGACCTGTCTCGTGTCAAAAGTAACTTTTCCCACTTTGATGACCAAACCACCCCCGATCTCTTGCTGCGTAACGACAGAGTTGTTGCCCGATTTACCAGAATAATTCATACGACTGCTCTCGCGTGAAGCCTTCAGAAACACACACACACAATCGATTTAATTTCATCAACTCGAACATAACTTGTATTCTTCTTCCAGCTCCGTCTTACCTGCGACATGTACTGGAATTGGTCCTTGCGTTGCTTATACAGATACCAAGCTACAATCGTGCCAATTGTCAAGATAATGGGAATGACGATCAGTTTTGCATCTACGTTTTCCTGTCTATTGAGCCACGTTTTGCTCGTGTTGTAAGTTTTCGATATAATTCTCTGTCAATTGCGATTTTCTTCCAATTGCATAGTACCGTTTGACGTGTCCGATTGTACGGCGACAGACAACTTGGTCCTAGTGAGTTCAACGCGACAGTCTCCAAGATTATCGGATCGGATCGCCCGGTTATTTGGAGGAACTGGCTTTGCGGCTTGTATTCCGCGGGTACCTCGTAATGGCCTAGCACGATGGCATTCTCAGTACACTTGATGCTTTGTTAACCGTCGTCGGTTACATCGATATTAGAAATAAAAACATGATCCCCTGGCAATGGTACATTCTTATCGTCTCTATAAGGATGCGACGTCAGCAATGGCCCCTCCAGCAACAAGTGGCCTATGTTGCCTGATATAATGGTCGTGCGGAATCGACGAGCGATGGCAACGCATAGAGACCATATCGATGCTGTCTGTTACGGAGAGTATTAGCGCGTAGTAATACCGAGCGTAGGATTGTGCGCGTGCGATTGGCGGCGCTCGCGAAGAAGAAGGCGGCGTAGTAATATCGGACAGTGTGCGTTGAGTTGCGCTGCCGAGAAAATGGCGAACGCGAGTATATGTTTGTACGTGCTTCGAAATAAAAACGTTTCGTTAATTATACCGTGCATAAGCGAGTCAACTTATTCCATAACAAAGTGGCGCCCAATCAGCAAAGCACCCACGAATGAGAGGAGCTTATAGAAACGAGCGATCGGCAAGCAAGAAGCACGCAGCACAGCTCGCGTCCCGGCAAGCAAGAGATCCGCTGCGACAAGCGCGACGGAAGAGATAACCTCAATCGAACAGAATAGCATAGCTGCCCTCGCGGCATCAACGCAGCAGTGCCACAACGTGGGGCAACGGTCCCAGGAAAGGGTGAGTAAGTCACTCAAATCAAGTTACTCAAAAGTAATACAATCAAAAGTAATACAATCTTTTGCACAAAATGTCAGACACGCGGCAATTGAAGCAAAAACGAGCCCAAGTCAAAGGGCAAGTCACCCGCATATTGCATTTTCTGGAAGAAACAGAAACGCCAAGCGTGGCGGATGCACAGATACGTTTAGAGCGTCTTAAAGAATTCTGGGAGAAATTCGAACAGATTCAAGGCGAAATCGAACTGGCGTTAACCGACGAAACCAGAAAGTCGGAAGAAGGGGAACGAACAGTTTTCGAAGAATGCTACTTCAAGGCAGCGGTAAAGGCCCAAGCAATTATCAACACGAGCAACAAGCAGCAAGCGGAATTACAAGCACAGATGCAAGCACAAGTGCAGGTACAGCAGCAATTGGCGAATGGACAAGAAGCCGCGCCACGGGAAAGCAGGTCACACGACGATAGGAAGAACGAGTTGAAGTTACCAGAGATAAAACTCCCGGAATTCAAAGGGGAATACACGCAACGGCTGTTTTTCTAAAACAGTTTTGAGACGACAATCCACCAGGTTGATTATCTGACGCGGGAGTGAGGGCGGCCAAGCTTGGCCGGCTCCTCCCCAACCTTGGCGGCCCGGACGGCAAGGTGCGTCAGCTGTACGCCAATACGGTTGAGTCCGTGGCGCTCTACGGGGCCCCAGTTTGGGCCCCAAAACTCGCGGCATCGCGGCGCGCGCGCTCAGATGGCGCGTGCGTTTCGCCCGATAGCCGCGAGGATCTGTAGGGCGTACCGGACCGTGGCGTTCAACGCGGCGGCGGTGATCGCTGGTCTCCCCCCGATGGAGTACGCGGCGGAGGAACGTAGTAATATGTTCCTCGAAAGCCGCGACTCCGAGGGGAGACCCATAAGATGGTCAGCGACTCACCGTGCTCGGCAGAGACTCCGGCACCGGCGACGCACAATCGCCATGTGGCGAGAGGCGCTCTTAGCCTCGGGGAACAACACCCCGGGGCTGCACGTCGTCGGGGCAATCGGGCCCCTCCTTGACCAGTGGGTCGACAGGGGATGGGGTGGGAGCCGGGTCAGACGGAGGAAGAGCTGACGGGGAGGCGTATTCTCCCCCAGTCACCCCTCCCATGACGCGGAGCCGGACGAGAATGCTACTCGCCCGTGCTCCCGTTCCCACCCCACCCCCTACTCCGCCGCCCAAACCACCGCCCTGACGGGCGGGGGAGGGGCTGCCCGCAAGTCGCGGGTAAGACCCCTCCCCGTTTAGTGGGCGGAACACCGCCGAGGCGGTAAGGAGAGGGCCCTCCCCCAAGAACAACGGGGGAGGCGGACTGGGCCTGGCGGGCTGGGACTCCCGTCAGGCCCTGCCTCCACGGAGACGGGCGGTAGAGGTTGTGGACACCTCTGCCGCCCAAGAGAGTAGTGGACCCCCCTGCGGGGAGGAGTCCCCCCTCCACCACATCACCGGGGGAGGGAGCGCGAAGGCCCGCCTGCCAAACGGCGGGCCGGTGCGGGGGGAGTCCGGAAGTAATGGCTCTGCCAAGTCCCGGGCGTCCCCCAAGTAAAGCACCGCGCAGTCTACCGTGTGGTTTTAGTGAGTAGTGAGGTAAGCCCAGCGGCCGCAATGTTAGCGGCCGCAGCCGATCGCCATTAGGCGGGCAGTCCCACATAACCCGGGCCACTTTGTAAACTCCCTTCCCAGAGGGGGGCTCGGGCAGCCATAAAGGATTTCCACAAGTAAAAAAAAAAGGTTGATTATCTGACGCCCATGCAGAAGCACCAATATTTGGTGGGCGTACTTCAGGGAGAAGCGCGACAGGTAATAGAAGGGTTCTCTATTACAGATAACAGTTACAAGAGTGCGTGGCAGTTGCTGAAGGACACGTACGACAATCAGATGATGATCCTCGAAACGCACTTGGACGAGATGCTCGATTTCCCGATTATAACAAAGGAAAATAAGGCAGATTCCATTCGGAAGTTTGTATGGCACATTCACACGCACATAAAGGCACTGGAGAAGCTACACCAGCCGACATCGCAATGGGATACACTCATCATTCATATGGCGAAGAAAAATTTGGATTTTGCAGAACAACGCGATTGGCAACATCTTATTAGAAGAAAAACACCGCAGGATATGCCGATACTTGAAGAATTTCTGAAATTCTTAACGGAGCGATGCCACAGTCTGCGGATGCTCAAGCAAAACAAAGAGAGGGTAACGAATACAAAGACACCAGTAGTAAAGAAGGAAGGACGAAAGGTCAGTCTTACAACTACTTCAGGGAATTGTAATATTTATGAGGGCAATCACGCTGCTTACAAGTGCGAAGAATTGCTCAAGGCATCGGTTCAAGACAGACTGACGATGATCAAGGACAAGAAGCTCTGTATCAATTGTTTAGGAACGGGACACTATGCATCAAATTGCAAGTCATCGACATGCCGAAAGTGCTCAAGTAAGCACAACACCATTTTACATCGGGAATCCGAACATGCAAAAAAGGAAGCTAGTTATTCTGACACGGAATCGACAGCTGGTCACAAGGAGATCTAAAGGGAACATGAGACTCGAGCCTCAACGAACAGTGCAGCTAAAGCGGCAGTGAATATCTGCCACGTAAAGATGGAAGCAACGGGGGTCATTTGGCCTACCGCAAAAGTTTACATCGTGGATGACCATGGAAACCGACATCTCGGAAGAGCATTGCTGGATTCAGGTTCGCAATCGAATGTAATACTGAAGACTTCGTACGAAGATAAAGGGTGTCCCAAAATTTACGCAAGATTTGAATTAAATAGAAAACACAGGTTTTTTTTCAATTGTATTTTTTTTTATTGAAACATAAAGTACATAGGATAGGGTTATGTATGGGATAGCACATCGGGCAAATGACCTCCATGGCTTTGCTGGCACATACGCACTCTTTTGTCGAAATTTTCCATGACCATTTTGCATAAATGTGGCTGAATTTCGTTGATGCAGCGTTGAATCTCCTCCTTCAATGCACGGGTGGATGTGGGCTTGTTGACATAGACCTTTGACTTCAAATAACCCCATAGAAAGAAATCCAAGGGTGTTAAATCACATGATCTAGGGGGCCAATTCTGATCACCGAAACGAGAGTACCAGTATACTGGTGCTCGATATCGCGACATGATAACCGAGTTCTTTCTGCCTAAATTGGATGATATTGATGATGACAAC